ATATATTTGTTTTGTTGTTTTTAATTGAAAATAAATAATATTACATGCTCCCGGCGTATTAATACCATATGGCATTGTGCATATATCACCTCGATTTTCTCTATAAGCAAGTTTTCTTGCCATATATACATAATATAAATTTCCCCATAACATACCAATCGATACACTAAAACAAAAGAAAAGAATTATTCTCTTTTAAATAAATTTTATTTTCATGATTTTACCCAGGAACAATTTTTCCATAGATAAGATCATCTTCGAATACAAGTTTAAGACTAAGAATAACAGCTAATAATGTTGCTAAATTATTCATAAATAAAGCGACAAATCCATCGATGTCACCAAGAACAAATAATGGAAATTTAGGATTCGGTTTAAACGCACTGACCCATTCTTTTGGATGAAATGTAAATAATTCTTTAGCTTCTCTTTTCAATGCATCTAAATTTGAGTTAATACATTCCTTGAAATTAAAATCTTTCTTTGGTTGTGTTATATTTTTCACAACAACACCAGGTCCACTATTAATTGAACTTAAATTTTCAGTTGGAACAAGAATAATAGGTGGTGATAATGATGAATTCGATGAAGCCATCTCGATTGAATTCTTCAGACTCACTAAAAACAAAAAAAGAAATAAGATCTTATCACTATTTATACAAAAAGACTTCTTTTCATCTTTTTTCTCTAACATTATTATTTACAAACATTATGAGACATGATGAGAGAACTTTTACAAACATAATATCAATGTTTTGGAAGACATGTTTATTCAATAAATTATTCTTTTTTTATCTATTATGAATAATGTAGACACAGTTCATTATGCTATTAAAATCGTCACTACATGATGAATACAAAAGCTACGATTCTCTGCTTTTTATGTATATATATAGAGCTGTACTTGTCTACTTTATGTGAGAACTATGTTCAATCTCATATATTGTATACCTCTCTATAAAAGAGAATCAGATATTGTACATACGTTAAAAGTAATAGTATCTAATGATAACTGTAGTATGAATAGAATGATTTTATTTAGAACATGTAAACATACTTTTTTTAGATGTAAGTTATTGTTTCAGATATTTTTATTATCGTATTGATGTAAGATAAGATTAGAATAAAATGAAAAAGCAGAAAAAAAAAGACATCGTCGTATTTTCTTATCAAGATGATGAGTTAATTTTCGACTATTTATTTCATCTTGAAATAAGAAAAATAAAAGTGTTATTTATGAATAAACTACTTTTAGATACTAAAGTCATAAATATTATCTTTAATATCTAAAAAAAAACCTTAGTTTTTATTGAAAGAAATATATTGAATATCATGTGAAACTAAACATCAGTAACAGGAAAGAAGCGTCATCTATTGAAATATATTATTTATTGAATATAAATAATTAATTTTCAAAATAATAATAATTATGATCTAAACAAGAATATAACATTTCTCATAGTTTTATAAGATAAAATCCTAATTAAAATTTCATTTGATTTCTATTTGTCTAATATTCTCATCGATTAATCAATCAAGCAATCATTTTCTCTCAATCAAAGTTTTATAAACGATGAATATAATTGAAAATCCTTCGCCTGAATTTGAACGTCAATTTGTTCTTGCAATAAATGCACGACGAAAACTTAAAGGCGTAAATTTATAATCATAT